GATGCAGAGATTTTGCAACTGCTGCTCAATCTTTTTGGAACACACATCACCCGGATACCACGTAGTTCATCTGTCACTTCCTTCAGGTCTCAGCTTAGATTTCACCTTAATAGAGAAGCTTTTTCTGATCAACTCACTAAAAGATACCCTCCACCCTTCACATTCCTTTTATTCCTTTACCCTGTTTTATATCTTTCGAGCTTGAATTTATCACTGCTGACAGTGATTTTTAATTTATCATCTGACTTTCCCCATTGAATAGAAGTTATTTGCGTACAAAAAATGTGCCTATTTAGTTCACTACTCTATCTCCCAATTCCAGAGTAATGTCTGGCCCACAATGGCTGCTCCAAAAATATCTATTGATATACACAGATTTCCTTAGCCTCTGCCATCCCTGGTGCAGCAAGATCAACACCTCTTTTTTCTCCTCCTCTCCAGACTACTCAACATGAACATGAGAAGGATGAAAAACTTAGTGATGATCCACTTCCACTTAATGAATAGTAAATATTTTTTCTCTTTCTTATGATTTTTTAAAATATTTCCTTTTCTCTAACTTACTTTATTGTAAGAATACCGTATGTAATACATAGAAGATACAAATTATGGGTTAATAGACTGTTTATTTTATTGATAAGGCTTCCAGTCAACAGCAGGTTATTATAATTTAAGTCTTCAGGGACTCAAAAGTTATACTCAAGTTTCTGACTGTGCAGCAGGTCTGTGCCCCAACCCGAGTTGTTCAACTGTCAACTGCATTGCTAATTGAAGGAAAATTAAAATTACTTGTCATTTTCAAGTTTTATATTCTTTAATTATTATTGGGTAGTCAACTGTCCAAAAATTTGTCTATGTACCTTTTTCAATTTGATGACTCCTTCTTGTGTATCCTCATCTGTGACAATGTCAAACAAGTTTCCCCCATCTCCTGGAACAATATTGTATTCAATTTCTGCATTTTGTCCAAAATCAGGATCCACAGCTCTTATTCTTCCAATAGCTGAGCCAATAGGAGAAGACTCGGGAACTTTCAGATGGAAGATGCCTGATAAGACATAATTTGCATTGACAGTGGAGTTAGTAATGCATATAGAAAGATTACCAGGCTTGAAAAATATAGTCTATAGAAAGTAAATCAAGTTTAAAACATTATAGTGCCAAATGGAAAGGCAATTTGCTGTCAAGTTAAGGATTATGATTAGGAGTAGTAACTTCACTTTCACTCAATAGGTCCTGCTCTAGAATTTTAACTGGGCATTATAAATAGCAGAATGTGCTAAATTAAAATTACTATGAGGAAATATTTGACATTCTGACAGCATCAAAGTGTACCAAATACCAAATGGGAGGGTGGGACTATTCATGAAATTAATTGGTACCAGTACAACAGAATCCAGAATGAAAGACATAGATAAAAAGATACAGATGAATAGCTACTTAGATATTTATAGAAAATTAAGGTTATGTTTCCTAAAACTAATTACTTCAATGAGTATAAATTATTAATCTAAAAAATGACCTGTAAAATGATAATCTGTAAAGTTAACCAAAATTCTAATCCATGAAGGATTTAAATATAG